TCATTTATTCTCTTACATACAATTATAGGTATACATTCACATAGTTATTCTTTTTCTTTGCCATTCTTATACTTTTGTTTTTCCATTTAAATGGTTATAATATACAGTTTGAGTTGCTTTGTTTACCATCCGTAGCACCTGTTGTAATACCACCTTATTTTTTCCTTTCTTTTCTCCCTCCCCTCCTTCTGCCTTCCTTCCTCCTCTCCTTCCCCTTCCTTCTTCCCTTATCTCTGCCCTACTCCTATCCTCTCTCTTCCGCTTCCTGCCCTCTCTCCTTCTCTTTTTCTCCCTTCCACCTCCTCTCCTTCTATTTCTCTCCCTTCCACCCACCTCTCCTTAGGGTGGCAAACTACTTTAATGCACTAAAAAATTAAAGAAACCAGAAAATAAACACACATATCATCTGAATTTGGGTAGCTTTTTGTTAGTTTCCATACAATCTCCATCCAGATTTTACGCCTAAATATATGCTTGAAGTGGTTTGATTTGAAGTTGTTTCTGGACAGTGGTCTCTTTTTATATAGAGAAGGACATGCAAATTAAAAGACAGCCCAACCTTTAAATGTCTCCCTCCTTCTGACTCAAAGACTCGGAGATTGACAGAACTTTTGAGTTCACTGAACGTACATTTCTCCTCTATACCATTCAATACAAAATGATTATATGGGTGAATGTCATCCTGACCCTCTTTGTTTTTAAAGGTATTCTTCTTTGGGTTAAATAATATTGTGAGTTGGACTCAGATTCCTCCACAAGCTCTTCAGATACCTTCTTGTGTCTTTCTTTCCAGATGTTCTGGCAGATATTTCAATAACTGAATCAGGAGGAGGAGTGAAGAGTCCTGGAAATTCACTTCGACTTACTTGCACAAGCTCTGGCTTCAATATCGACAGCCACTATATGGAATGGGTCCGCCAGGCAGATGGAAAAGGGCTGGAGTGGATTGCGCGGATACATCAACACAACACGTTTTATGCCAATTCTTTCAAAGGTCGAGTCACCATCTCCAAAGATAGTTCCAGGAGCCAAGTTTATCTAGACATGAACGGACTGAAAGCTGAAGACACAGCCAAATATTACTGCAGCAGGGAACACAGTGGAGAAAAATGAATCTGAGCTTGTGCTAAAACCTACAGTTTATGTGGCCAAAGGAAAGTTTCATTTCGATTCACTCCAATGAAAATGGAACCACCACAGGAAAGCTTTAAATGTATCATGAGCAATTCCTTTGGGATCTGCCACAGCTGTTTATTCTTATTTTAGCAAGGGGATGAAAAAAGTGAAAAGGAACTGAATTTGCATACAAACAGTATCTGAAAGAATTATTTACTCTCTCAGTCCAACTCCCCCAACAGAGAACACCTAGGAGAGATCAGAAATTAAGTTTGCAGATGAATTTTCATAAAGCAAGTAGCCCTTTCCACATTGTTTTTANGCTCTTTGTATAATTCTTATACTAACAAATAACCAAGGTCATTTTATTCTACTCGGTTCTAGGTATGTCAACTTTGCTCTTGTTCTAGGTCACTGAGTCACACAGTTGATTTCATCAACTCCCTTTATCAAACATAATTCCCAAGAAAAGAAAAGTTGCAAGTTGATAGACTGTGGGGGACATTACACCTTTATGGACACAGAAACAAAATATAATGACGAGGGAGAGTCCAAGTTGACAGATGCGTTTCGGACCATAACTACAACTGATCCAAAGTCACACAGCTGTTTTTTCATGCCTAGAACCAGATTAGAATTTACAGTCTTCTGGCCAACACATTAACTATTACACCAAACTGGTTTCTTAAGTAACACTAAGACTATAGTCTAGTGTGGGAGATGATGATGATGATGATGATGATGATGATGATGATGATGATGACGACGACGACAGGAGTGGTGACGATGAATGTGCAGAGTTGAAGTATAGGTATGATGGGCACCAAAGCCACTCAACTGGTTTTTAAAGCCCAAATACCTTCCCACAAGCCACTTGAATAACTTGTCTTGCAGCCTCAAGTGTTTGTTGTTTCCATCTGAGTCCACCCTTGGCACACATAAAACAAACTTTACTTGGACCAGCCACTAATAACAAGGGAAATGGAACTTTATGGAGCGGAGAAAATATAATTGTAAAGTCAAACAACAGAAAAGCCTATATATTTAAACATATATGATGTATGTATGTATGTATGTATGTATGTATGTATGTATGTATGTATCAGTGGTTGGAATGGATCTCAAAGTTTAATGGTCACAGTAAGCACTACATCAAACTTGCTCTCTAAGTAACATTAAGACTGTAGTCCAGGGAGCAGGAGAAGGACAAAGAAGAAGGAGGAGGAGGAGGAGGAGGAGGAGGAGGAGAATCTATTTCCAAACACTTTCGAAAAAGTCTTCATATATATTGTAAATCTGTGCAATCATCGGAAACTCAGGTTAACTGAAATAAACTCTTTATCTTTCAATCTTGAGCTAAAGTCACTGGAAACTGCATTCTTCTGGTCCCTGCTTAGCTTCAGACAGGATGAAACAAGGCACACTCCTTCCAAGGTGCAAAACAAAACAAGATAACTGAAGAAGTATTGGAAATCTGAGCCATTTTGAGAGTATTTCTAACTTTTAAAAGTAAAAGTAGTAATATTTAATGAGTTGAAGCAGTCCAAACATAAGGAAAAAATGAAGACTCATTCTTGTGGTTGCTTTTCAAATCAGGCAGAACAATGGGAGGAAGCAACTGCTAACNTGGTTTGATTTGAAGTTGTTTCTGGACAGTGGTCTCTTTTTATACAGAGATGGACATGCAAATTGAAAGACAGCCCAACCTTTAAATGTCTCCCTCCTTCTGACTCAAAGACCTGGAGATTGACAGAACTGTTGAGTTCACCAAAGATATATTTCTCCTCCATACCAATCAATACAAAATGGTTATATGGGTGAATGTCATCCTGAACCTCTTTGTTTTTAAAGGTATTCTTCTTTGGGTTCCATAATATTGTGAGTTAGACTCAGATTTATCCACAAGCTCTTTAGATACCTTCTTGTGTCTTTCTTTTCAGATGTTCTGGCAGATGTTTCAATAACTGAATCAGGAGGAGGAGTGAAGAGTCCTGGAGATTCTCTTCGACTTACTTGCATAAGTTCTGGCTTCAATATTGACAGCTACTGGATTGAATGGATCCGCCAGGCAGATGGAAAAGGGCTGGAGTGGTTTGCAGCTATAAATAAAGGCACCACGTATTATGCCAATTCCTTTAAAGGGCGAGTCACAATCTCCAAAGATAGTTCCAGGAACCAAGTTTATCTAGACATGAATGGACTGAAAGCTGAAGACACAGCCAAGTACTACTGCACTAGGTAACACAGTGGAGAAAAATGAATCTGAGCTTGTGCTAAAACCTACAGTTTATGTGGCCAAAGGAAAGTTTCATTTGGATTCACTCCAATAAAACCACAACCACAATAGAAAGCTTTAAATATATAATGAGCAATTTCTTTGAGATCTGCCACAGTTGTTTATTTATTATTATGTCAGCAAGGAGATAAATAAAGTGAGAATAAACTGGATTTGCATATGGACAGTATCTGAAAGAATTATTTTCTCTCTCAGCCGGACTCCCCCAACATGTAACCCTTATGAAGGCACAGAAATTAAGCAGATGAATTTTCATAAAGCAACCAGCTCTTTGTATAATGCTTATATTAACAAATAACCAAGGTCATTTTATTCTACTCGGTTCTAGGTATGTCAACTTTGCTCTTGTTCTAGGTCACTGTTCAAATAAATAAAAACATGTGTTGAAAGTTTAAGCTCTGTAAAAGAAATTTGAGCTACTAACGGTCAAGTGGCAAGTAAGTGGGCTGGACATAGATCTCTTGTGGGTGTGTAGATACTCAGGATTTATGGTGCATTTTACCCCTCCCTCTGGCCCAGCCTGGTCATCTCCTACACATTGGATGTAAATACGAAGGCCTTGCAGGGAGATGTGTGACAAACTATTTTAATGCATTAAAGAAATAAAGAAACCAGAAAATAAACACACTGTTATATCATCTGAATTTGGGTAGCTTCTGTTTGTAAAGGTATTCTTCTTTGGGTTAAATAATATTGTAAGTTGGACTCAGATTCCTCCACAAGCTCTTCAGATACCTTCTTGTGTCTTTATTTTCAGATGTTCTGGCAGATGTTTCAATAACTGAATCAGGAGGAGGAATGAAGAATCCTGGAGATTAACTTTGACTTACTTGCACAAGCTCGGGCTTCAATATCGATAGTTACTGGATGGTTTGGGTCCACCAGGCAGATGGAAAAGGGCTGGAGTGGATCGCCGATATAAATAAAGGCACCACATATTATGCCAATTCTTTTAAAGGTTGAGTCACAATCTCCAAAGATAGTTCCAGGAGCCAAGTTTATCTAGACGTGAATGGACTGAAAGCCAAAGACACAGCCAAATATTCCTGCAGCAGGGAACACAGTGGAGAAAAATGAATCTGAGCTTGTGCTTATGTGGCCAAAGGAAAGTTTCATTTGGATTCGCTCCAATGAAAAAGGAACCACAATAGGACAGGTTTAAATATATCATGACCAATTCCTTTGGGATCTCCCACAGCTGTTTTAGCAAGAAGATGAACAGTGAGAAGGGACTTGATTTGCCTATGGACAGCATCTGAAAGATAATTTTGCTCAAGATGGATCTTGACAGACTTGAACACAGCCATATCTAACCAAATTATTTTCAATGTAGAAAATGTAAAATCTTAAATTTAGGCAAGAAAAAACAAAAAGACACATACAGACTGGGTGAAACCAGACTTAATAGCAATAATCATGAAAGGGATCTTGCAGTCTTAGTGGACAACCAATTAAATATGAGCCAAAAGTGCCAACACAATCCTAAATTGCATTGACAGAGGGATAAAACCAATATCAGCTGAGGTACTAATACCAGTCTATAAAGGCTTAATAAGACAACACCTACGACTCTGAATCCAGTTTTGGTCACCACACTATCAAAAATGATGCTGAGATTCCAGAAAAAGTGCAGAGAAGAGCAACCAGGATGATTAGGGGACTGGAGACTACAACATATGAAGAACGGTTGCAGGAACTGGACATGACTAATCTAGTAAAGAGAAGGACCAGGAGAGACAGGATAGCAATCTTGCAGCATTCTATTGTATGCACATCCTTGTGACAGTTGAAGATTTCATTCCAATGAATCTCTGGAAGAAGAAGAAGAAGAAGAAGAAGAAGAAGAAGAAGAAGAAGAAGAAGAAGAAGAAGAAGAAGAAGAAGAAGAAGAAGAAGAAGAAGANAGTTGAAGCAGTCCAAACATAAGGAAAAAATGAAGACTCATTCTTGTGGTTGCTTTTCAAATCAGGCAGAACAATGGGAGGAAGCAACTGCTAACCTTCCTTCCTTCCTTCCTTCCTTCCTTCCTTCCTTCCTTCCTTCCTTCCTTCCTTCCTTCCTTCCTTGATCAGTTTCTATATATGACTCAGTCCACATTTTAGGCCTAAATGTTTGGTTGAGGATGCTTAAGCGATTTAAGTTGTTTCTGGACAAAGGTCTTTTTTATACTGAGAAGGACATGCAAATTGAAAGGCAGCAAACCTTTAAAGGTTTCCACCCTTCTTACTCAAAGACCCAGAGATTACTAGGACTCTTGAAAATATATTTCTCCTCCAAACCATTCAATAAAAATGATTATATGGGTGAATGTCATCTTGACTCTCTCCATTTTTAAAGGTATTCTTCTTTGGGTTCTATAAAATTGTGAGTTGGACTCAGATTTCTCCACAAGCTCTTCAGAAATCTCCTTCTGTCTTTTATGTCTTCAGATGTTTTGGCAGATGTTTCAATAACTGAATCAGGAGGAGGAGTGAAGAGACCTGGAGATTCTCTTCAACTTACCTGCACAAGCTCTGGCTTCAATATCGATAACTACTGGATGGTTTGGGTCCACCAGGCAGATGGAAAAGGGCTCGAGTGGATTGCAGAGATAAATAAAGGCACCACGTATTATGCCAATTCTTTCAAAGGGCGAGTCACCATCTCCAAAGATAGTTCCAGGAACCAAGTTTATCTAGACATGAACGGACTGAAAGCCGAA